CCTGGGTTGTGTAGAAACTCTTTATAGGTACTTCCAGCTCTCAAGAGATCTGGTGCTCCTGGGTTGTGTAGAAACTCTGATCTGGGCCTGAAACTTTTCATCATACTACACTCCATGCAATTCTATATTCCTGATCAGTCTCCTCTGAGTGGTCCTTCACTGATTGGGGGGTAGATCACCTGTCCTTGCTGTGCCCCACTGTTCTCCCAGGGGCCTGTCTCCCCACCGCCTGCACTCCAAACCCTTCCCATGGGGCAGGCCATATGCTGGTCCCTTGTGATGACACCAGACTCTGATTGGCTCTTTTTTCAGTTGTTGTGGCTCTTCAATCCTCTGTGAGTCCACAGGAACCCTATTAGTAGTATTGGTAGCCTGAGGGCCACCAAGGCCCTCTTCTTTCCTGCTGCCTCCAAGCAACTTCATCTGAAGGGCAAAGCTGTGGCTTTTGCCAGCTCCTGCTCCATGTGCTCAGCAGCTCCAGCCTGGATGCAACCAGGGCTCAAAATGATCAGTGATTCTTTCTTTCTCTCATCGTGACTTCTCCTAACTTCATGCATGCTGTAGGTCTCTCCTCCTCTTCCTCTGAGCTCTAGAAGCCCCAGCTTGGCTGTCATTTCTTTTCTATAGTTGTAAATTGGTTGATTTATGGGAGAGAGTGATGCTGGGGACAATCTATTCCACCATATTGACCGTAAGCCTCACCCTTTAAATGTCTTTAATTGCCTTTTTCCTCATTTTTCTTCCTGTGATCACTTGGGAGATATATACATATTGGCGATATATATATATATATATATATATATATATGGCTAGCCAGTAAGGGGATTTGAACTCAAAGTTAGTTTGATTTTATGTTTTGATTTTTCACAATTTCTCCAAGAGCTTAAGTGGCTGTTATTCAGTCATGTAGGGTCCCCGTGGGAGCTGCTTTATAAATTCTTGAATGATTCACATTTATGCAGCTTATTTGAAACACAAGTTCCCCCTCCCCTGCCTCACTCCTACAGCGTAAGACAAAAGTGTCCTTGCATGGCTGCCCGATGTATTCAGCATGGGTATCTCTGTGATGTATGGGAAACGGGACCGAAGAATATAGTCGGTGTTAAACAACTGTCAAGGATTTAACAAATTATATTAAACTTCATGAAGTTCTTATCAAGGAGAATTACTCTCTTTTTATCACAGCCTCGGCAGGTAAACATCCCACAGCTCAAATGCTTGTGGCGTCTTTACTCCAAGTTTAGTCTGGAAGTTGCGACTCGAGGAAGGCCCAGAGCCAATGTTTCTTCTTGTTATTGATTTAGCAATGAGAGAGAGATGAACTTATATAGGAATACATTTGAAAGTGTATATAGCAAATAATTTTCTGTATGAAACAGAATGTAAATTGTTGCTTTCTGCCTCTAGGACTGTGTTTTAAATCGTTTTATTTCAACACTTGATATTTTTGTTGGCTTTTGGCTTCTCCTCATAAATACCATTTTTACTAATAAGTTCCCAACAATTTCTAACTCTTTTCTTTGCCTGAAGCAGATGATAAAAAAATGTGCTAAGCATTTATACATCTCATACAGGTGAGGATCACTTTCAAAGTATCCATCAGTACAATGTGTGCAGAATAAAGCACACTGAGTGCACACAGTGGAGCCAAGAAGAACAGGGACAGTCTCTGTGCACCGACACGGAGCGATCAACTGGGGCATGTTTTTAAGTGAAAAAAAAAAAAAAAAAAAAAAACAAAGAAAAGAAAGTTATTTTTTTCTATGTCTGATAGATTTTCAGAAAAGAAAGAAAATATGAAAATTTCACAGATCTCTTAATGGTAAAATTGGAAAGTGTATACACATACACACACATATAACAGTTTGTGTACTAAATTTTCTATAAGAAAAATGAAGAAATAATTTGCTTATTCTTAAGAAAAAGTTAAGCTGGAAAGAGGAATTAGAAGATACTGAAGGTGTTGGTTAGAGCGCGGTATTATAACACCACTGTCAAGGATTCGGATCTCTGCTGCCGAAAAATCAAAAAGAAAGAAAGAAATTATATAATGGCTGGAGGTGGGAGGTAACAGAGCAGGAATGGGGTGGACAGGATAAAGGCAAACAAATGAACCCCGCTCTGTGTGTCACGGATAATACACAGAGAAAAGTGAAGTGGCTTTTGAACAAAATATGCTGACTATACGAGGTGCAAAGAAAATGTATCCATTATTTATTATGAATAACATTTGTGTTGTTATTTTTAAAATACTTTATGTAACTGTTGGATTTTAAAAAATAGGTGAGTATGTTATGGATTTTAATAAACAGAAGTCTCATTGTAAATTGAGATATAATTAAAACCTAAAAAGTAAAAAGAAAAAGAATAAATCAAGTAAGTATATTAAATGTAAACTGTTTCATTGTAAGAGAAAAGGTATACATATATAAAATCTAGGAAGAAAAATTTGAATTATAATTAATATTATGAACTTACAATTTTAAGATGGGTGTGTGTTCCCATCTGCCCCCACTGAGAGGGCCACCTAGTATAACACACACATGCAACATTCAGGTCTCGGTTCTAAATATATTCTCCACCAAAAGGTATCAGGAGGCCCCCTTGGAAAAAAGATAAATTCCAGATATGAGCAAGATGAGTGAGAGATTTCTTCTTGGTTCTGAAATGAAAGAAACTTTCTGTGAATGTGTGTCAGAAGGACACTAGAGCCAGCTTGAAATTCAAGCCTCCCGCTAGACCAATTATGAACAACTCAAACATCAGAAAGAATAGAGACTGCAGTGGGTTGCAAAACACTGAAAAATAAAGACCCAAAATCCTACAGTGACATAAAAAATAAATTAATTAATAATCCTAAAAAAATTCATTAGAAGTGACCATTGCACTGACACAGATTTACTCAGGCGAGGACTTTTCCTGGAGTTTGTAAAATAGTAACAGGGCATGAGAAATGTGTTATCTAGTGTAATCCTCCTGAGACACTGTGAGGTATGATGGTTCCCATCTGTAGATGAGGCCATTAAGGCACACAAAAAATAAACTATTTAGTCCAATATCACATAGCTCTTAAGCCGCAGTACCAGATTTTAATCCAGATTTGTCTGGAGACAAGACCTGTATGTATTCCTGTACCTAAGATTGCATGTTTTCTGGGCAATTAAGGTGTGTCTTTTGTGTGCAAAGCACACTGACAGATATTAGGGTGAAAGAGAAGCAGATTGTGTCCTGAAATTAAAGTCTGGAAAAAATGATAAACAGAAAAGAAAAAGCATACCAGGTATACCAGAGAAAGCTCAAACCAAGTGTAAAATGCAGTGTGTTTCAGGGGCCAAGCAGGACAGTGTCACCAAGCACTTAGGGAAGCTTTACAATGTAGATCCCACCTGAATGGCCATGGTGGCACTGCTGGGCATTGACCTCATGCGGCTGAGGAAAACTTGCCCCAGGCTGAGGACCTTGGGATCTGAAGGAAGTGTGGAGGTGGGCCAGGGCACGGTGTCACGCTGGGGCGGTTGGGTGGGGAGTGTCTTGAATTTCATGTATTACAGTTCAGCAAAGCTGGTGGGTGAGTGTCTTTAACATAAATAAAGCTCCTCAGATGGCAGATAGAGGACACACTGAGTCCGGGCACGATAAATCTGGTGTCAGCAGGCAGGGTGGACCGCTGCCCCCTGCAAATAGGACTGGAGTGCAATAAAGACAGTGAGAATTGCGACTGTGATTTGGGAGTTATTGCCAGAGGAATGACTGTTAAATCTTTGAGGTCTCCATGGGAGAAGAGGAGAAAAAGAGGTCAGGGAAGACTCTCAGGGCAGCGTCTGAATGGAGGACAAGAACAAAACAGAGTCCAGGAAGGAGACAGTGGTGTGTTCACCCGGGGAGCCACATCTGGAGCATGACTTGAGCAGCTGGTGTACTTGACCCACTCGAAGGATGCGAGGAAGCACCACCACGAAAACACGAATTATTCTGCTCAGAATCTTAGAAAAGCCACTTTTATCTTGAGGTTTTGTTACATTAATTTTAATTCCATCTCTTTGATGACTTCACACACTATAATTTAACATATTTTGGTTGTGAGCACATTGTCAAAGACTTTAGAAACAAAGAGAGAGAATGAGTATTTTGGCAAGCTGCTGAAGTTCAACGTTGTGGCTTTTATTTAAGCTGCAATAACTACTGATGTTTGAATTTTAGGGGGAGGTTTTTAAAAAAAATACTTTTGTTTCAACTCTCTGGAAAGCTTTCTGGTACTTCTTTCTTCATGTCCTTGACCTTTACATTAAGTGCAGATGTGACACCTTTGTTGGTTGACAGGGTTATAGTCGATATTGTTGGAGAATTACAGAGATCCTCAATTTCCATGGAAGATTGTGAAGATACACCTCTGGCACATGCTGAGACAGTGCTTCTCAGGGTGTGGTCCCACACCAGCAGCATACACATCACCTGGGAACTTATCGAAGCAAATTCTCAGGCCCCATCCCAAATCTAGTGAGTCCAAAACTCTAGGGAGGAGGGTGGGAACCTGCAGCTAGTGTTGCAATGGCCCTCCAGGTGATCCTAATAAATGCTAGTTAGAAAATCTGCTCCAAGAGATGTGGAAGTATGCTTATGGCACTTCAAGCAGTTTGCTTGTTTAAGCTCTTTCTGCTAAAAGTGTCAGGAAGAATAAGACTGGCTCTTTGAAGGTCCCAGTTAATTATGCCTTTTCTTTGGTCATTTAGAATTAATTAAATCAAATGGTAATAGATTTGGCCTGTGTACAAGACCCCAAAATGGAACAGACTGTTAATGAAAATCTCAGTGTTGTCACTCATAAAAATTTTAAATAACATTTGTTTCATTTCTGAAAAAAAAGTAGGCGTACTTCATACTGCTGACATTATAACTTTTCCACTACCCTTCATAAAAGAGAGTGAATAAAACAGATATTACGGTGCTAACTACCTATATCTATGCATGCTCATACTATGAAACATTTTTCTGCATTTCAGGCCCCAACTGCTTTGCAGAAACTGCTGTCATCCCCGCTGGCAGAGAAGTGCAGACCGACGAGTGCACCATATGTCACTGCACGTATGAGGAGGGCACGTGGAGGATCGAGCGGCAGGCCATGTGCACCAGGCACGAGTGCAGGCAGATGTAGACACTCATGACCCAAAACTGACATTTTTCTAGAGTATTTAACTGATGGGAGCATTCTAAATGACTCTGGGAAATACCAATCAAAAGGAGAAGACTTTTGATGAAGAATATGGAAAAGTGTTGGTACTTTTTGTTTTTCTTAGTAACAATTACTGCAAGAGAAGAAAGTGGATCTGTACCAAAACATCAACAAGAACTTTGGGCATAAAATCCCTCTCTAAATAAATGTGCTATTTTCACAGTAAGTACACTAAAGGACACTATTATATATTAAATGTATTTCTATAATCCCTCTATTAGAGAGCTTATATAAATGTTTTCTATAGATACAGATTAAAAATGCTGTGTTGTCAACCGTCCTCACCGCGTACCTGCATGTCTTTTTCAGTTCTGATTCCATCACGTGGGAATGTTGGTGGCTGTCAGTCCCTCTCACATCTTCACGTGGAACAGTGCACTCGGGAGTGGATCATAAGACAATAGGACTGATTTCCACTGAAACCTCGTACAAATTCTTTTTGATTTCAGACTTATATAAAAAGTTTATCCTTAGAAAACTCAGCCTAATTTACATAAATATATTTCCTTTTTTAATATCATTTTATCAGCCTCATTCTCAGTCATTTGGGAAACGCAGGTGTAAAGATCACTAACACACACTTTTTTAGTTCTTTCTAAGCACCTAAGTTGTGGATCATAGATAAATGCATACATATATTTCATTTTCATTTCTGTTACTTTCTCTTCTAAACATGAATTCATTCACTCCCTAAACTGAGGAGTATACGGTAGGCTGGAAAATTTGTTCCGTCAAGCTGAAGCATGCAGTAAAATAGGGGGAGAGTCCTTCAATTCTCTGGAGGAGAGTTAAGGAAAATCAAATATCTGAACAAGTTTATAAATGAAATCTGAATGTGCTACAGATATTTTAGCTTTTAGTTCAGCAGACTCATATTTCTTAGTGGAATGAGTCATCTATCTTCCAAAATGTACGTAGTAAAATCTGGAAGATAACCAGGTATTAGTCATCCTTCAAGAACACTGTGAGAACGCAGTTCTTCTGTCACCTATGTTAAAACAAAGCTGAAGGCCAGGCGTACTGTACAACTGTCTGTAGTTGCACATAATTCAAAACCAACTTCCTTTCCTTCTTCTGGACAGGGAACAACTGAAGCCACTGTAAAGTCCTGCTGATCTGATCAATGCATATTGATCAACCTTTATTGATCATATCAACTCTTGGCACATTGATGAAAGAGGTAGTCAAAGTCTTAATAGATGTAGGGTAAAAAAGCAAACCTATAACCATTGTTTGAAGCCTTTAAAGTGTTTTTTCCACACATTTTTCATTCCAAAATTTTGAATTAAGCAGTTATTAAGTACAAAATATTGTGATGACAAGAAAGGAATGAGGAGTGGTTTCTAGCCTTCGTAGACTTCTGGTCTCTGGCATAACAGGAATAAGAAATTACATTGCTTTGTGTTAGGGAATAAAATAAAAGCCAGCAAATGGAGGCTAGAGAAGCTTCCTAGGAAAAGCACAGAAAATACAAAAAAAAAAAAATATATATATATATATGTATATATAAAATCATTCAATCATTAAAGACTGAATAATAGTCACAAAAAATGGATACATCTTTCATCATTGTAGAGTGAACCATTGTAGACCTTTGTAAGTGTAAAACCACCACTCACTGAATCATCAAAACATTTACGTATGCTCATGGATAATTTTTATCTTGTTTATAAAGAACATCTTGGGCCAAATGGACTTCATGTACATAGATTTTATGAAAATACTCAGGGGGATTATTAGCTAATTGCTCTCAGCTATGATCAGCTTTTCAAAATTTCACTTTTAGTATTGAAGGCTGCTAGACATTGACCATTCCGCCATGATTCAAAGGTAGATTTTTTGAGACAAGGTTTTATGAAGTTATCATTTTGCCAACAAATGGCCCTAGCCCCTGGTAAATGGGCCATTTAGCTATCTCTAACAGCATACAAGTAGCCTCTTCTCTCCCCACCAGACATGATGCAATTAGAGACTCAGTCTGTAATGCCCCAAATCTTCCTGTTTCCCTGGGTAATACAATCCCTATCAGAATGCATGATGAGCTCTGGAACAGTTGCAGCGATATCTTAAATACTATGAGAATTTTGGGAAGCCTAGTATTTTGTTGAATATGTGGAGAGTGAACACGGTATCATCTTGTGAAACTGACTGACTTTCACTCGATCTAAACTAGTGCAGCCCACACTTGCCCCAGGCATACTCCTCAGCAGCTGTTACAACACTACAGGAACTCTCTCTCCGTTTATGATTTCAACCCCTGCATTCCTCTCTCCATGTAAAAACAGTACATAAAACAAACATATGGCAGGACTTGGATTAATGACACTGTACAAACTCGATATTATTTGCATTTTTGTTCAGGAGAAACTTCTGCTTTTCTTGCAGTCAATTTAGACTATAAATAAGATCCACATAGCTATCTCAGGTTGACATTTAATTTTCCTCCCCTCTGTTCCCATAGAACTCTTTGCTGAGATTATCAACGATGAAACTGTTCTATTCAATAAGTGTGATAACCTCAGTAACTTCATCATAAAAAGAGGAAAGTATGAGTTCAAGGGATTAATTCCAAAATATTGTGGTTTGGACACAGTTTCTAAAGAATGGGCCTCAGAATTCAACTAAAGAAGTTTTTGGAGAGCCATAATTACTAAAATTCAAATAGGCCTGCTTTGTTATTACCCAGTAATTGTTAAGTGATTTATTCAAGTTAAAAAAGAAAACTGTGCTTACAAATGTACCACATGAATTTATTTCAAATTTTTAAATTATATTTAGATCTGCAAATATGAAGCTACTTGTATAAGCTACTTAGCAACAGAGTGGTTCTGGGAATGAACCAATCTGATGTTTTAGAAGTTTTCAAGTTAGAATCATTCTTTCAGTCATAGGATATTTCCTTATTGGGTGGATTCATCAATACTTTTATTTGCATTTCACAGATGTCTTGGGTGAAGTAATTTCAAAAACTTGTATTTCACCCCTGCATGCAACAAGCATTAGGTGCAGTCCAGCCACGTGGCAGGGCCTGCTGTGTGTTGTGGTGAGTACAGAGGAGAGGGAAAGTACCTGTGACATAAAAGAGTCTATATGCCTTGAAACTAATTTACATTTGATAATATTTCTTTTAATCTTTTCATTCTTACAACTTCATCATCTGTTTTGTGCAGTGAAACATATTAAGAGATGAATTCTCAAACATTTTAAAGCATGTAACATCACAAATATGTTTAAGAAACTCTTCTCTTCAGTTCCCCAACATAAATTTTCTATGCATATAATGTTTAAAAATGTCTTTAAAATTTCAGAAAATTCAGATATTTTTCCGATTCTTTTGTTTTAAGAAGTGAATGTGTTTAAGGCATACATTATTTGAAACATGAAAAAATATACCCTATTTCAAACAAGCATTGTTGGAAACTACATCCATTTTTTTAAATGACTATTTAAACATACAAAAAACAAAATTATAGACACAAACCATGATTTAACAAACATTAACAATTTAATAAATTTGCTTCAAGGGCTGGCCCCTTGGCTCACTTGGGAGAGTGCGGCACTGGTAGCGCCAAGGCCGCAGGTTTGGGTCCTATATAGGGATGGCCTGTGCACTCACTGGCTGAGTGTGGTGCAGACAACACCATGCCAAGGGTTGCAATTCCCTTACCAGCCAAAAAAATAAATAAATAAAAATATAAATAAATAAATAAATAAATTTACTTCACTAGGCAAGAGATCAAGTCTACTTTTCATTAAATTTTTTAAGGTCCAATATCCCCCACCCGCACCCCCAAGACAATGTTATAAGAAAAGTAATGTAGACGTCATCCTGCCTGCATAATGGGCAGTATCATAGGTAAAAACAAGTACCATTGGTAACAATATATGTGCTTCTTTGGCCAATATAATTTGCAACCTTAAGTTTTTACTGGACCTACCTACCTACTTATTTTTTTCCCACTAGTAGCATCTGTGGATAGCTGATGCAGTCAATAACTATCCTGAATAATTAGATTTAGAGAGAGCAACTCATTTATTCTGAAACAAATGCATTTTTACAGCACATCCTTTTTACATTTCACCTGCCACTTCCAAAGCTCAGGTTCTCCTTGTTCCAACAGCCTGCTTATACCACCTCCTCATTCCAAACCAACCTCTTTAGCCTACTATTTTAGTTTCCTAAACAGAGATCTAGTTTTCAGCAGAATTATTTGAGGATCCCAAGAGCACACAAAATAACAGCCAAACTCCTCAGCATGGCAGACTGGTGTCTTCATGATTAGGTCACAGTCCACACCATGACCCGATTCATGCTGACTATTTAGAACTGTAGGCTCTGGGTGCCCCAGCTATGCTCTGAACTTGCCTCTACTTTTCCAAATTCTGCTTCGAGTGTCCTTTTCAACATGTTGAGATATTAACAATTTTTCAGTGTCCAACCAAGTGCCATTGCTTGTGAGAAGGCTTCTTTAGTCCTAATTGGATTGTCACTGTGTCCCTGTCATAATATAATTTGGTATCTTATTTTAGGCATATGATTTAGAAATCATATCATACTTTGCATTATAGTTAATTTTATGTCTGTTTGCTCTATTATTTACAAATTGTTTTAATTCAGGCTATGAGACATTCAATCCCCACAACATCACCCAGTGTCTTTATGTTAAAGGCTTGTTCAATGGTATTCAATCTATCGATTCAGAGTGATTTACTGTCCTTGCTTAAGGCCAATGTATATATTGAAGAGCAACTAAATGCTCCCATTCTTATTCCCTGCCCTGTTGTCTTTTGGTTTCTCATTACAGTAACTTGCAAATCTCAGATATCCAGGGCACAGCAACCTGGGACACACCAAGTACCCAACTGTTGTGATAGTTTAGGATGAACTATGGCATTGGCCATTTCTGATATAAGTCAGGAAAAAAATCCACTTTTGGTGTAAAATTTCTGATGCTGAAGAACATTTCTTATATTGAAGAGACATTGGTACTTACTGATAATAAAAGAAGTCAAATTTACAGTTTTGTTATTTATATACCTGCTTATTTCCAATTTTTAAAATACAAGTTTCTTACACTTTATTTTGCAGTTTTGAGTACTTCTGCATATTTTAACTTTCTATGTAATGTTGCTTTGCCTCCCACAGATTTGTCACCCCTTGTCCCCTGGGTGACAGAGCCACCAAAGATTACTCAAAGCCATCTCTTCTGAGCAGTGAGATGTACCAGAAAGGGGTTAAAATCCCAGAACCCTCAAGCATGAGGCATTCCTTCCATTTGG